ATGTTTTAATATCGTTGATACCAAACAATTAAATGGTAGTTTATAAACTGTCAGATACCATAAGCTTTGAATTTGTTTATATAAAAAATAATATATGTCTTGAAAATATATACTTTAATTTTTATGGTAATTTGCCACCTTTTAGAAATGTATGCAGTTTATGAAGTACAATATTTTTGAAGGCAAAAACTACTGGATGGTTATTTATATTTTTCATTTTGTGGATTCATTCATTGTTTTACTGTTTACATTTTCCCCTTGGCAAGTATCAGTAGAAATGTGCAATGGCTTTTTGTTGTCGTCAAAATATTAAGGTATGAGTCTACGGAATTTGAATCAGAAATCTTGACTAAATTTGACAACTAGACAAGTCTTCCCTACTGTTCTCAGTTCTGAAATGCCATGACACAAGTGAAAATGATCCACTGCAAGCTGCTTTTTTTTTAATCCTAACTCACCGTGACCTTCGTCTTCACATACACATAAATACACACCTCAGGGATTTTCCACACAAATCTCACTTAGGCACGACTAGACCTGATCGGGTAACAGAAAGGCATTATACTGAATTTATTACTGTACGTCATCTCCATTATCCACGTGACATAGCCTGAAGGATATAATGGAATCTTTATATGGCAGTTTTATATAATAATGAACAATTTCCAGTCTGATGTTTATCTGTGAATGGAAAAGATTAAGTCAGTAATAGATTTACAGAATTAACTGATTTAAGCTTAGCCTACATCCTTCCCTGATAACTCATTCGATAAGTAAACAATGAATTATCATGATCTGCTTGTTTTCTGTCTTTCTTAGTGCTAATTATTTTAGAAGATCTTTAGGCCTATTTGTTTTGTTGAATTGTAATTGTGAGATTTAGAAATTCACACAATAAAATTCAGTAAGTTACCTTCAAATATAAATATTAAATTCCATGAAGTATATGGTTTATAACCTGTAATTCTACTAAAGTACTAAAAGCCCCTCTCTCAGTTGTATATTGTCCTCAGGGCTTTTTTTGTTTTACAACCTACATGTCTGTGTGCTGACTTGGTCAGCATTGATAAAAGAGCTGGAAAGGCACCCACCACAAATGACCAATAAAAGGAGTCACACAAAGCCCCCCTGAGTTTATATCCTTGACCTGGTGTGTTTATGACGGCCTGTCTTCCTGTTAAGGTAGACTCACATACCTAACCAGTCAGTGACAAATGTGAGACAAAGGAGATCTAAATGTGGTGAGATTTTGTAGGAAAATTCCTGGACTTCTTTCAGTTCAACAAGGAAATGAAGATGCTTGTTCAGTAATCAGCCCCTGGATGCGTTTTATTTGTGTGGTTACTTCACCATTTTTTTCCCCCTTTTTCCTTTAAGAAATCAGCTGTTTCTTAAGGACGAAAGTAATTTAAGAGAGGAAGTTTTTTACCCTTTTAAGGATCTCAACAGGAAATCTCAGGTAACATTTGCATGTTTGTATTGTTGAACCACTGTTGCTATGCTGTGGTGATTCATGTCTTGGTAAATATGCACACACTTGAGTGTAGCGCACTTGAAATCCTGCCAGTGTTACAGTACTGAAACATGGAGGTCTGATAAATATTGCTTTGATGTCACTTTCTACCCATATGCCAACAGAAATTTGATTCCTCAAATCGTTCATTTGATGAAAGTGTCTTGGAACCAGGACATTTAGGTCAGCTTATTTTTCTAATTCACGCTAAGCTTTCAGTGCTGACATATTTCAAGAGACACGGCATGTGGGTTTAAGTGTTTTTCACTTGAATGGTCAGGATCTGGGTTGTACCTATGCAGGTGCATATAGTCAACTGTGGGAATGTTTTCTTCTGGTTCTCTTCATGTTCAGACAAATTGCTAGACTTAGGATCATCATATACATGAAAAGGTTGTTGAGGAGCATTAAATCATGCCATTCGTTAAACAAAAAGCTACTAAATGATTTCTGAGATGGTACATCTGGAGATTAGCCTCACATTCCTCTTTTTCTCAACTGTAACCTCAAAGCAGCAAAAATAGAGCACTGCATAATATGATGAAATGTATCCACTGGCCCTCAGGCCATCAGAAAAGGCCTCCGGCTTTTGAGAAGGGCGGGACCATCGCCTATAGTCACGTCATGTGTTCAGTTTTTCTGTGTCAAAAGACGATCTGCCGGTTTCAAAACAAAGTAGTAAATCTATCAACAATGTCTTCCAGTATTATTGCTGACAGAGCAATATACTATTGCTGGACATATCTTGTTTTTTTTATTAATGTTAGTGAAGATCATGCCATAATTGAAGCTCCTTTGATTATGAACTCAGTTTGACTTTAACCCGACCTAACTAACAAAGGATAAAATATAAATTAATCATATGACTGTATTAAGTGAGTCTTAAGAATTATATAGTCTGTTTCTCTGAAAAGCTTTGAGCGGAGCCTCTGAAAATGATTTATTTATCATCACCAGCCACTGGTAGTTTGACTATTATCGGGCCTGTTTACATCCGGTAGCCTATTAAGCATTTTTGTCAATGCTCACAAAGTGGACAACGTTAAATGTGCAAACAGGGTCTAAAATGTTTTGAGCTTGTCCACTTTCGATGACTTCCAGAGGTACGAACGCACTCCGAGCACATTCGACCTGATTGATTTAATAGTGTAGAGGCTCATATGATCAAATGTGTTTGAACAGCCACAAAAGACCGCCTACTCTCCGCCCACTGACCTAACGCATGCACATTATGGGAAGCATGTTAGCTAGACTTGTAATTCGGTTTTCTTGATTCTTTCGGTCCTGACCAAAAAAAAAAAAAAAAAAAAAATATATATATATATATATATATATATATATATATATTATGATTTTTTTAATGAAAATGTGTCTCATGAAAATGTGTCTTCCTCGTCTATTTGTGATCCGATCGACCAAAACGCATCTTAATACCAGTTGTAAATGGGGCTTTGTCTCATTTAGTGTATTAAGATAATATACATCTCCATTCAAAACAAATTATTTACTTTTATAAACATTAATACATATTTTCTGGTTCATGAATAGTGAATTGACTTGTTCTAAGACTAACTGAATAAAGTTACAATTTGTCCCTGATTCGTTCCTGGAAAAGATCGTTTCCCTGGAGGCGAGACAGTGGGCAGTTTGCGTTCTCCACCTAAATGTGCTTTAAAGAGTTTTCTATTTTATTTTTTTACACGCATGATAGAAAGAATACCATGACAAAAACTGCAAAACCTTCACTGAAGGACATAAAACTTTTCATTTCCAAAAGGCTTTTGTAAAATATTGAGGAATGTGTTTGAGACTATCACAAGTATTTTATTTGGATATTCAAAGGATGATCCACCTTTAATTTGAGGAATTTTTTAAAGCTTTGGTTTGTCTGGGAACATTCCTGTAATTCTAACCCTGTCAGCACATCAGGCTTATATAAAGCTCAAAGGATGCACTAAAACACACTGTGGTGTGATATTTACACAAGACTTGAAGATTTCACAGCTGTATATTTACTGTGACAGCCGTGAGGGACAGCTAGAACTCAAGATATCAAATGAGGAATACTGTATCATATTTCATTGATATTCTACGTGCTGCTCTTTTATGGGGGCTGGCAGACAGCCATAATATATTTTTACAATGAAAAGTGTATCTGAATTTACTGGTCATATTTTCTTTTTATTCAGCATTTTGCACGAGAGAATCAGTGGTGACATATGAAGCCTCCCATATCTTGAGTTCTTCATGCCGCTCTTCATAGCACACACTGCTAACTTTTGGTGCTGCTATCAGTTATATAGGTCAGGTTGTAGATTCACTGATGTTGCAAACATAATTAGATTGGGATGGATTGCATATTAAATTTTTTTTGCAACTTAACTGTATATAATTCAATCAAATGTTTATAGGTAAATCCCCCTTGAGGTTTAAAAAAGAAAAAAAAAAGAGACCGATATAATTGGTGATCTCTGCTCATTTCCACGTATTAGCAGTCCTGGCTTAAATGCAACCATTTATCCTCCCCACCTAACCCTGTGCATGACAGATGGTTTAAACATGGTGATGCTTGTATTGGACACAAAATAAACAGCTTTATTCATGATATGATAAATGACTGCCTGTCTAAGTAGGCGGCGTATAATACCAAAACAAAAGTTTGGGACACGTTAAATTAATCAAAAGTGACATTAAAAACATTTATAATGTTACAAAAGATGTCTCTTTTAAATAAAAGCTGTTATTTTTTTGAAGTTTCTGTATTCATTAAACAAGGGAAAAAAGCATCACAGTTTCCACTAAAATATAAAGCAGCACAACCATTTAAACATTGATAATATAACAAATGTTTCTTAAGCACTGAATCAGCATGTTGGAATGATTCCTCCCTCCACAAGACCATAAATCTCCTAACATCTTTAGTGATATTAATTTTAATCTCTGCAGCTTAAGCAAAAATCAATGCACTCATTCACTCATGAAGTGTATTGAGGAAAGTACAGTTAATCTAACCGTTTTGTCGTGTTTTTTGTTGAGGCTCTTGGTCTTCCAGGGGTTACGTGGATCGGGTTTGTGTGAATGCTAATTACATGGGCTAGACTGGCTTGCCACTACACTGTTGACTTCACACAATGGCTACAGGCCCCGCCCCCACAATGCACCTGCTGTCCAATCAGAAGCGGGGGTTGTCAGGAGGTTGGGGTCGGTGGTCTCTTTTCTGTTGTTGTGTGTGAGAGAGCTGAATTGGAAAATGACTTCTAAGCTTTCTCTTTCCTTTTCCTTTTGAAAGTCTCAGTCAAGACAGCAGTCTCCGCACAATGACTCAGGGATTCTGTCTGCCTGCCATGTAACGTTGTGTATAAGCTTTCCACTTTACAGACAAAAGGTAAGCCTTTTGTTTCTTGTGTTTTTAATTTCATGTTTTGTGTGACTTAAGTGTATTTTGCTTGCATTATATTTGTATTGGATATGTATTTTTATAAGTTTTTTTTCTGCAAATTTGGTCTAATTAACAAGTGAGTTTTTAGTTAGCATCAGTCACTGTAAAGTAGTAATCAGCAGTTCTCTCACAAATGTTTTTTTTAGAAGTTACTATGTTAAAAGTTGTGATTATTCAGGCTTCACAGATCACTGAAGCAAACAACAGGCCTCTGAGGTTCTGCACTCTAGACCTCGTTATCATCACATTCACTTCAAGACATTTACTTTCAAGGAACGAGTTTAAATATCAAAGTAGACAACAGTTTTGATCTAAAACACAGAATGCAATCTTTGCCTATATAAAATGGCTGTGTGTTTGTGTGGGTTTATTTTCGCCATAAATATGCCAACATAAAGATGCATGCAAATGACCATTTTACGCTCTTCATTCTTAATGAACTGCTTTTAAGTCCCTACATGTCCGCTGGTTGGTCTATGACCTAAGAGCACGTACATCGGGAGCTGAAAGGCTTCAGACCGCATGTCCCTTTGTGTGTTTTAACCTCTGGGTCAGTATAGCTGATTGCTGTTGTGCTGTCAGTCATTATATATGTGTGATCTCTCTTTACTCTGCTAGAGACCCTCAGGAGTAGATTGTCACTGCCACAAGATTAATGACACTCATCTGTTTGCTTTAAAACCATATGCTGTCTAGAGATGAAATAGCCTGTGGATTTCTGTGTAAGATGTGTGATTTAATGCGGAGAACTTAAGTCAAGTTAAATAAGAAAGTTCAACTTCATTTCACAGACTAAAATACAAGTTTGAGCTGTCAGAAAGCAACTTGCACTGACATATCAGTTCAAATATTAAAATATGTAAGTACCATTGTTTTGTCTCAAGATGTCTCACACCAGTTTTTCTAAAGGTACGTTTAGAAAACCTTCTTAAATGTGCTAATTTTACTAAAGCCTAATCCTGGTTTAATCTAAACCCTGTCTGTGAAACCTGGGCTTCATATTCCAGATTGTAATTCTATTTAAAGAGCTTGTTTACCGCATGTTTCACAGATGAAGTCTCATGTTAATTCAGACTGGAAATAAGTTACTTGTGAAAACACTAGTCTAATGTCCGTCGCAGAATGAATTTGTCAATGCTATATGTAACTAAACACTGATGGAAACAAGCACTAGAGCATGTTAATGTCCTCAGAGAATGTGTTCAGCCTTAATGATTAACCTCTGAGGTCAATGTGTCTCACTGCGTCTTAAAATGCCTGGGGCAGGTGCGAGATATTTCAAAAATGTGGGCGACATTAGACTCGACTCCATAGTCATCAGTTATAAGGCCTTCTGCTGGATTTTGTATTGTAATTTTTTTTTTTAAATGTAGGTACTTGCAACTGAAGCCAGAGGGCTTTATGCAAATGGATATATCAGTGACTCTGGTGCATTCAGTAAACTGAATAATGCATGAAATAAATGCGTTTGGATGATTAGAATTCATACAGTAGGTTGTAGTTCTCCAGAATATGAGCCTTTGCTATAATTAATGGACTAATATGTTAAACCATCCATCACATACAATTCTGTCCTGTTGGTTTGGCATTTGTGATTAATATGACTGAATTTTGTGGGTTATCTTATAGCTGTAGGCGTCAATCTTAGATCTTTTTATAAATTACTTTTTGAACAAAACAAGATGATCAATCTACATGCATAATCTGCATAAAATAATTTCAGTGTTCTTTTTATGCTCATCATATTCCAGTCAACATTCATTGGCCTCTTGCCATGGAGATATGGTTCCTCTTTATCATGCTTAAACTCTAGATGCTAATGAGTATTTGCCCAATCCATGCCAATAGTTATAATATTGAGGTGCTTAACAAAATATAAATGTGGACAATTAGAGGAAGTCAAATGTTCGGAGACTTTACCATATCTTTTACTGTTTATTTTAGGTGTCACTATCAGTGTTTTAAACATGGCGGCAGATCTGGCTTTAGTCACTGTTCTTGTTCAGCTTCTTGTTGATTTGGTGGCAAGTGACAACATTGACTTCTACAATCTCATGCCTGCTGTAGAAGGTGAGTGTGTCTGTTCAAAAGTTTGGGATGAGTACGTAGTAGTAAGAAATTAACACATATTAAATATATCAAGTGACTGTAAAGACATTTATAATATTTAGCTTTTCTTTTGAACTTGTCTATTTATCAAAGAACCCTGAGTATCAGTTTCCACAAAATTATTAAGCAGCACAACTATTTTTAACATTGATAATACTAAGAAATGTTTCTTAAGCAGCAAATCAGCATATTAGAATGATTTCTGATGGATCATGTGACACTGAAGACTAATGAAGATGAAAATTCAGCTTTGCCATCACAAGAATAAATGACATATTAAAATAGAAAATAGATTCATCTTAAATCAGTGATCAATATTTCACAATATTACTGTTTTATTGTATTTTGATCAAATAAATGCAGCCTTGGTGAGCATAAGAGACTTAAAAAAAAAAAAAATTAATTAAAATCTTAGCATCCCCAAACATTAACCAGTGACCTGTTAAGCAATAATGTAATCGTTTGTTGACATGAATGTTATCACACGATAAAGCATTACCATAAATGTGACTTAATACAATAACGCTGTGCTCATGTCTGTACAGCCACCCCGTTTCCCAAGAGTTTCAAGTGCTTCACCTGTGAACAGGCCTCAGACAACTACAGCTGTAACCGCTGGGCAGAAGATGTGTGGTGCCCTCAGAGTGAGTTTACAAAACACAAACCCAACGCTCTCAGACCGTGTCTCTTGATAAAGATTATTCCTGATATCCCGTTCCTTCATTTATAGATACCCATTACTGTATGACGATACATCACTTCTACCATCATGGGAAGACAAAGTTTGTTACCAAAAGATGTGCAATGCATGAAGAATGCCAGTTAGCCGGCTGTAGACATCACAAAAATACACACCATGTGAGTATCCACATATCCACTCTTCATTGTACTTGAATACATGGCAACATATTACATGCATACAGTAATCTCTAGTACAAAAATTGGATTCACTTGTGACTCTGTGTTGCAGGAGTGTGTATCTTGCTGTGAAGGGATGGTTTGTAACGTAGAGCTGCCGACCAATCACAGTAATGCTGTGTTTTCTCCGAGACAGACCCACAGCTCAGCAGCACCAACTTTCAGGAACTGGGATACTGTGATCCTGCTTATCCCGGCTCTCACTGGTCTGTTACCGTTGTGATCCTCAGTCATGAGAACTTGTTTGGTGATGAACAACACTACAAGTGAAAGAAGCCAAAAAGACATCATCCACACTGGAATATTAATACAGTCAGATGGATGTTTCCATTAAGTTCACAGTATCATGCTGGAGAAAGCTACCTGTTGGCATTCCCATCCATCTCAATGGCAGGATGTTGCAGGACTCCCTGGAAGAACATGATTTGAAATCTGTGACTCATCTGCCTGTAGTGGCACCACAAGAAGAAGATGATTTGGACTATTTTTATGCTTTCTGACATTGATAAATCTATTATAATATAATTCAATATTTGTGACTTATATGTTGCTCATAAACATTTTTATTCTGTCAGAAAACACTAATACATTTTAATGACCATCAGTGGATGCATTTTGCAGCCATATGTTGGTTACAGCCATAGTTACAGCATCAACCAGTAGGGGTTAACTAACTGGAAAGTGCTAAACAGCAAAACCCAACTCTTTAGTGGATTCAGTGAGGAAAAAAGCCAGTTGTGTCCGGAAGATCTGTCAATGGAGTACTAGTACGGCTTGTGACGGCTGCTACTAATGATGTGCTAAATCGGACTGAAAAAACAGACGGCTATAGCAAAGTAGCATTTAGCAGCTAAAGCAGTGGGTTACACTTATGCTGCCTCACTGGATTTGTATTGAGGCTCACACTGAGCATTGGATATCTCTATGTAGGATGGTCCTGTGGCTCTGTTCCCAGATTCTGTCACACAGGCCAAGCACAGCAATGAGAGGACGCTGGACGTGTTGTTCTAGTTTTCTAAACAATGCCAATGTCTCTAAAAGAGATTTTGATTGCTGTATGTCACAGCTTTGAGAACATGCACCTGCATCACATACAGTAAGCACTAATTAATTAACTATATTTTGGGTTATTCGGATTATTTGACTGTTGCAAACTCTGTCATCATTTTTCTCAGCTTTTTTTTTTTGTCCCCAAAACTTTAAATTAATAAAAATGTGACCTTATTTAACTAATGTCCATGCACCAAAATTGCATGATCAGTTATTATGCTACTGACACTTTTCTCGAAATGCATGTTATTGATCTGATTCATCCATGCATGTTTCAATTTTATTTTTTAATCAAAATGTCATTTTCCAGTGAGGCTTCTCTCTGGTGACATATTCCGCAATTCTCCAATCATTTAGTCCACTTAAATGATTTATTATCATCAACTGCAAGCTCACGTTCAGACCTCCCACCATTCAATCAACAACCATTAGATAGAACCAAGTCCTGCTGTAAATTTCTGTTGTCGATAATCTGTTTCACTGTCACAATATGGAGGATAAATCTGTTGCGACTTCTGTTTATTTCATTTGGACTAAAAATGAGTTGAAATATCCAATAAAAATACATGTATATTTAGAAATGAATACAAACTAGAGCTTGAGACTTGTAAAACCTTACCGTGAGACCGTGTTGCTTTCCATGACAGTGGAAGTTATGATAAATAGTCTTGTTTACTTCGATTGGATTGATTGAGTGTGTAAACGGCTCCTCGTTTCTTTAATCTATAACATACCGCTGTGCTTTTTGTATGAGAGCAGCAGGGCTACGTTTTTAAAATTCTTTCAACGTTGATCTGAGAACAGTTCTGTCTTTTTACATGAGACGGCCCAGGTTTCAATGTAGAGGAGCGAGCTGAACCTCGAACAGTACAAAAGAGCAAACCCCCCCAAAGAGCTCTGAGAACAATAAAAACATTCCCAAGAGGATCTCAGTGTGGGACACAAAGCCGTGGACCATTAATATCATTGCTGTCCGGAATAATGAGGGGTTTTCATTCTCCAAACCAAACATGACATATGGCTTTTCCTCTAAAATGGTTGCAGAGGAAATGAGATTTGGTTTCTGTGTAGCTGCTTCACTGACTTATGAAGTTAAAGTGTGCGAGTGTGTGTGTGTGTGTGTGTGTGTGTGTGTTCCTGCTCTGCTGACTGTCTCGCCGTGTGTGCTGTTTGCTCTGGCTGCTGGCTGTCTTTGTTCTGGTTTTATTAGGCGTAGAGTTGGAGTCTGTCACTTTCCGGCTTTGAAGAGTCATTGATCTCCCATTGAGAAAAACAGTATCAGTGCTGCTGCTCTCATCTGTGTCTTTAGTATTCAGAACTGAAAACAAGGCGGCACAGAGCTTATGGCTCTTATCCATCCAGATGCATTACTATGAGCATGTTAGTAAAAGTACAGCATGCTTTATTATGCATTGGTTTATTATGCAAAGGTTATTGGAAATCTTTTCAAAATCAAGCATGCAAATTATGATGTAAATGTTCAAATGTAATCCCCAAAAGTTAGAATTATTTGAATGAAAATAAATAATATTTTAAGTGATTAAGAAGTATTTAAAATGTTACACAGGTCATTAAGCCAATAAGCAGGTTTGTAACCTACTTTGTTGATTTTCTTGCTTCCAAAATTCAAACATATTTAAATCATGCTGGAGAACATGATCAGAATACTATAAAAACTAATTAATATAAATGTTCACTTTTGGTGCTGACAATCTTATTTATACTAAAAAAATTAGACATCATTGCAGAACATTGTATTTCCTATATTTTCCCCACAATAAAACGTCACTAGATTTTAAAGGAAGACATTTAGAGCTCATTGGAAAGTCCCCTCATACATTAATCAAAAAGAAAATTGATCAGATTTGATTAATGAATTATTGGATTATCCAGTGATGCGTTTGGTCATAAGAGTGACTAAAATTTTACGTCATAAAAGTAAAAGTAGTTCAAAAACAACATTCATTTACTGAATGGCATTTGATACGCTCAAACAATGAACAACCGTCATTCCTGCTCTTGTTTTTTATGGTGGCGCCACATAAATGTGTGTTCTATTGAAGTCTGGGGATTGATGATGTCTCCTCACAGGCATCTTCAATAAGCGTGTTCTAAGTTAAGGAAGTCCACTCGTGTTTGGCTGCAATGTACACATCTTGAGAAAACAAAACCTCATCTTAAGATAAGAACATAGAGCTTTAATAATCATTATACTATTTTATATATGAAGAGTTCAGATGCAAAAGCCTCTAAGTGCCATTTGAAATTTTTCTTCTTTAATGATGATTTTTATCAAACTTGTATATTTAAGTTCAGTGATTTCACTTAAATGGCAATGATGATTACCTATTAATTGTTATTTAAGTGAAATTACTGAACTTAAATATACAAGTTTGATAAAAATCATAATTAAAGAAGAAAATTTCAAATGGCATTTAGAGGCTTTTGCATCTGAACTCTTCATATATATAAAAAGTATATTTGGTGTTGTATTTTCTGAAAAGGTTTGGCATAAATCTGGAATTATAGCTTTGATATTGCTAACATCCGGCCATTACCGCTTGGCAGCTGCTCTATGTCTTTAGTTGCTGAGAATGAAATTTAAAAAAAAAGAAATGAAAATGCAATGAGAAAAGGCTTTCTCTACTGCAAGGACTCTTGACAAACCAGAAAGTTCCATTGAACACAAATTCCCTCATTGGAAATCCCTTCTGTGGTAATCCCAAAGCAACACTGGCTGCATTTGATCAGGACCTGTCCTGTAATCCGAATGAGCCAGCCGGCTGTATTGTCCTCTTGTGTATATGCTATGTGACGGCCAGCGGAGCTTAACATTCCACTTCAGGGGCAGAGATCACTGCACTAATTGGCAGCCGACAGTGTTTCCAGAGAGATTTTGTTCTCCATTAGGGATCTGACCTCTCAGAAACTTGGTTGAACCAGACCTCAAACAGCCCTGTGTATACCCTCGGTGGCACTTAGTCATGGGAGGATAAAAATACCAATGGCCGAGAAGTTATTTTGATGGAATGCAGAGCAGTGGCCCTCAGTAGTGTTTTAAATGAATACTAAGAAAGACTGAAACTGAAGTAACAAACAATTGCTTTCTTCCAAAGTTCAGGGAGCTGCTTGCAGAGGCAGCGTTTTTGGTCATCAATGCACATTCCTGATTTGAAGATTATTACAGAAGGTAGGCCACATCAATAAATTGTCTTTTAAATTGTTGTCACATTTACCGATGTCTAGTCAATTTCAATAGGAATCCTAGCGATCTGCAGATTTTGCAATGATTAAGTTGGTCATGCAGGTTGACAGTGTTGACCAGCAGAAAGCTGTTTGGTTTGAAAGCAACTTCTATGTGAGTGGTGCTACAATACTGACGTGCAGATGACGAAAGAGGGCAGGTGTATCTTTCTCTGTGATCTTTAAGCACATGTGAAGAGCAGTTTCTGTAAAGTCTGAAGACTTGCTGAGATCTAACACCCCCTGCATTGCCAACAAACCTTTCAACATGAAGAAAAAATAACTTAGGGCTGATGGAAAGTACATACTTGGCCCCTTCTGACCCTCTCTCACCAAACATTTAAAGACTGACCAGGAGTAGAATTTGAATGCAGATTGTTGCTGCGTGACATAATGGACTTTTACCGTGTTCAACAACTTATCTCAAATTCATTTTTGAGGAGGGAAAAAGGGACAATTTAAAGGCTAACTAAACCCCTGGTCAGAGCCTGACTCCACCCACTGGCAATATTTGAAAAATGCAGCAAAAATGGGCAGACCCTAGCGGAGATAGAGGGGACGAACCGAGGGCGGGGCTAAGCGGGGGGCGTGCACCTGAGACCCGCAGTGACAGCCGCTGTCAGACTCTAAAATGGAAAGTGACTGGAGTGACGCAAGTAGCTTTGCAACAGAGCGGTCATTTGAAGTCAAGGACTTTTCTCCCCCACCTTCACCTGAAGTGGAGGAGGGTGAAATGTCTGTGGACACCATGTCCAAGATGGTGGCGTCCATACCGGCGGTTTTGATGCCATTTATAGGGGGTATGGACGGCACCATCTTGGAAAATCTTGGTTAACCCTAACCCCGCCAATCCATATAATGGGCAAAAGGGCGGGCTTTGTGTGAGACTGAGCTGGCCGGTGGATGCGCCAAGCAAAATACGCTGGCGCGTTTGTCGACCCCAGAGGATTAACTTTAGCCTAACCATAAATTGTGATTTAAAATATACATGATCACTCACATCAAGACGCCGCTGCGGTGGTGGAGTCCTCGCAGGAGGAGCAACGTTTGGCACTGCGTCGCTTTTCAGGTTTTCGCTGTGTGGATAAGCCCATTTCTACATTTACCATCCTGACCACTGCAACGTTACTAAACACAGATAAATCTACGTTAACTTGAAGCTATTGTAACTGATGCAGTACAACGCAACAGCTAGGCTACACAAAATAATCAAAATAACTATATAAATGCTATGCTAAATAGATGCTAAAATAAGCTATTCTGGTCATTTTCAATACTCATAATTCCAACTCTTGAGCAGTGGTTTTGACGAAACAAGATTGTTTTTATCCTGCCAAGGCCGTGGTGAGCTCGTACCAAGGGCGTGGTGAGCTGGAAGCTGCTTACGTCACTTACAACCCCTTACGTCAAGTACCACCGCAAACATCCAATAGGAAAATTCAACTGCAGTAGCCACCGTTCAACCTGAAGAGGGCAGCACTCAGACGTTTTTACACCATATATTGTAGAATTAAAACTATTTATACCCAAATGTCAAAAAAGTTACTCGAACCAATGATCAGCACTACTAAAGCCCCATTTGTACAGATCCTAAGAACCTTAAAATTCAGCTAAATGTTTTGTCCCTCCCACATTCAATTTGTTAAAGACTTTTGGTTCTCCAAAATTCCAGAAATGAAACCTCATTGGTTCTCGTGGTCAAGCAAGCACATTTGAGCGTCCGTTATTTTATGTGTTCTACGTGCATTGATCAATGTTTATATATGAATAAAAGCCTAAAATGAATCTGTTCATCATATAAACCAGGCTATTTCTCTTCAAAACACGTGGATTAAACCACAAAATACATAAGGTTAATTACACAGACTTTCCATTGATGACCAAAAAGAAAGAATATTAAAAAATATAAAATAAATGAAAGTCTATACTGGGATTACATGAGGCTGAGTAAATGACTGACATTACAGTGTAATGTGACTTTTCATGACCCCAAAACAACAAAAATCACCTAAAGCAAATGTCAGATGAAAGCAGGGGGAAAGGAATTGGCAGATAAAAGTAGGAATGCAGAATTGCTAGCGTTTCATGGCTAAATCCTCTTTTACAGATGGGCATTTGTCTCATTTGGTAGAAATGATTGATGTGTTGAGGAAGGATGGTTGCTCCTTGAAGAGACCATCGTGAATGATTGAAGCATGCTGGAGGCACTAATGCCTTCACCACCATCCCAATAGTACACATCATCAAAGCCCATTCGTTCATTCAGTTTGAGATGATTATGTGCCTCTCGCATGCCAACCAACTCAACTAGACGTCTGGTGACAGGTAAGAGGACATACCAGGTGTGTTATTCCCCTCTGGAGGTAAATAGCATTAGCTATGATGAGTAATAATGACTTGTCAGCTCTTCAATGTGTGAATGTCATGATTTTTTTTTTTTTTGTCTTGGAAAGGAGGTA